GGAGCAAAAAATACGGTAGCATGCTTTGTTTTCTGACTGGACATTGGAAGGCAAATCCAGGCTTACTTTTCAAGTCTGAATGTTGAGGTATGTATCCCTCTGAGAAAACTCCACTGTGAAATGGAAAACAAGTTAAGCATAAGGAATATACATTCACTGTGATGTCTAGTTTTACTTTGAGATGAACTGAGATCATATATCCCTGAAACTGTCACATTTCTGTTTCTATCTTAGTGCCTTGGAATGCTATGTGAGTTTTGTAGGCCAGCTTGCCATCTTGTTTCCAAACCAGCTTTGAAGGGAGAAGCCTTCTGTAGTTTACTGGCAGTGTACCACATCAGTATGTACCAAACAGTGGGCACGAAACAATAAAGATGGAAATAATAGGAATCCATGGAGAACTCTCAGTCAAAAGCAAGCAAATGGAGAACAATAAGTACTAGAAATCCAAAGCTGATACAGAGTGTAAGAATGAATGCTTCAGGGACACGAATCAGTATAAGTTGGACTGTGTGACCACCCCAAAGGTATTTCCCCATAGGTATTTCCCCAAAGGTAGTGCACCAAACTAACAAATAAAAACATCTTTATTTTATACTGAGAGAATATATTGCACTTGCCAGTTGGCATATCCCAAAATCTCAGTTCTATTATTATTAATTACCCATCTTAAACTTGAGTCATAATGAAATTACAGCTCTGTTTCCTTACCATTGTAAGAAATAGTGTGCTTATGAAGAATATATTCCAGCACTTAAAACATCATTTAAAAATTATTTCACAAGAGGTGTTACGTGTGAGAATGCAGACTGTATTGCAGCTAGATACTTAAGATGTACGAATCATGGTGCTGGACTGGGGCCACAGTAACAAGGTTTCATTTACTGGGTTACTATAAAAAATCTTACCATAATGTTTTACTTACAAGAACTATGAGAGTACTCCTCTGTCTCTTTAATAAGACTCATCACCCTCTCAGGATGTGGCCTAGGGTTTTGGGAAGCTTCAGCAGCATGCATCTGACTGGATTTCCAGAAAGATGGCATTTTCTTCAACAAACATCATTTTTATTTCCCCAGAATGCAGTGTGCCAGAAATACCTGGGCACTGTGGGATAAAAAAGGGAGAATGCTACCACAAGAAGTGGCAGCCATACTATGTAGGTCACGGGGCACCAGAGATAAACGGCTGTTTAGACAGCATTCCTCTGTCCACAGATGCCATCAACAATGTCACATGTGTAGTGATTTGTGGTAATTGTGTTAGAAGACTGCTGCAGCCCCATAAGGTGACAATTTGGCTATGAATTAGGAGTAGAGATGGGCATGAACCAAAAAGCAAATCAGGAAATTAGTGGAAAATTGCTGGTTCATTGGTTCAGGTCATTTCCAAGCCGGAGAACATAAACCAACCCAAACCACAAACTTTTTAAACATTTTCCCAAACCTCTTGGTTTGTTCCCACTGCCCCATCACCTCCCTACCTTTTGCTGCCACCACCAGGAAAACACTACAAAAGCTGAACTTGGGTACAGAAGATCCTAGAGTACAGAGGACACTACACTTGAGTATGGAAGACCCTAGAGCTGGTTCTACACATGCAGCATGTTAACACTCTAATAGCTGGTGAATCATTCTATAGTGACACAAGCTCTTCTACAGAAGGACAAGGGCTGTCATTGCTATCCTTTGCTTCCAGCCATCCTTCTGCTACCCATACCTAACCCCTCCAACATTGCATGGGAACACATTTCATTCTCTTAGAACTGCAGAGCTGGAAGGGACCCGATGGATCATATGGCAGAGAACTGAGAAGGAAGAAGAAGATGGCAACAACAGTGGTTCGTGCTGCAAAGCTGGAAGGGACCCGATGGATCACATGGCAGAGAACTGAGAAGGAAGAAGAGGATGGCAACAACAGTGGTTCGTTTTGAACTCTCCCGGGCTGATTAGTTGCCTTTGGAGCACAGTGCAAGCCAAGGCGCTGCAGGAAGCCACCTTTCCCACAATGCTTTGCTGTGAAAATCCAGCTACCCTCCAAAGGCAACCAGCCAGCCAGCAGCCATTCAATTCCCTCCACTGATACTGATGCTGATTCTCTTAGAACTGTTGTTCTCTTCTATATTCTTGTTCTCTTCTCCCTTACCCTTCTCCTATAAGTGATCCTATATGGCAGTGGTAAGGGACATGGTCAGTGGGCACCCTTGTCATGGTACATGGGTAGTGGCAGTTCTCTGCCTCCTGATGTGACCACCTCATTCTGTCTTATCATTGATCCAGCACAGCATTAATTGCAGAAGGAGAACAACAACAAAACAATACTACAGTGGTGCCTCGCTTAACGATTGCTTCATATAACAAAAAATTCGCTTAACAATGGCTTTTTCAGAGCAATCTTGTGCTCTATTAACGATTTTCCCTATGGGCGATTTTCGTTTAACGATTTCAGGACCATGCTTTGCATAACAATTAGGTTTTTGGTCCCCTTGTTTTGCTTATCGGTTTTTTTACAGCCCCGTTTTCGCTATTTTTAAAATATTCTAAAATGTTTAAAAATGTTTAAAATGCTTGGAGTCGTTAGTGCACCTAATAAAACCTCCGTTAAATTCATTTGGCTTTGTTCTGAGTCTTTTTGAATTTTTTGTGAATTTTTTTCTCCCCCATTGAAAAGCATTGAAAAGGCTTCAATGCATTTCAACTGGGGAACCGCGTTTCGCTCAATGTTTTTTCCTATGGCGATTTTTGCTTAAGGACGGTAATCCGTTCCAATTAGAACGGATTATCCAGTTTTCAATGCATCTCTATGGGAAATGGTGTTTCGCTTAACAATGTTTTCACATAGCAATTTTTTTTTGAACCAATTAAAATCGTTAAGCGAGGCACCACTGTATTTCCTCAATGAAAGAGGAAGTATCTAAATAGAAAGTAACCTCAGGACAATGATCTAAGGATGGTCACTTACAGAAAATCAAGAGAAGTCAAGGTGTTCAGTCCCACCTGGCCAGCTCATTGGTCTATCATTCCACCCCTTTTCCTCGAAATATAACACCACTGTATTTATTTTAACACCATGGTAGTGTCAGGCCTGCCACACATAGAAAAACATAAAACTTTACTGGGACCGCAAGCTTTAGCCAGCATGTTAATCAACTAAAGTTTAAACTGAAAATTTCCAAAGCAAATATTAGTTTGTAAAGGTTTGGATTAAGTGGGTACTTGGGGATTGTTATATCTGTCTACATGTCAAAACATGTGTCTAACCATTTAAAAAATGCTTCTTAGGTTCTGGTTCACTGTAGATTCTGAATTTAATATTATTAACAATAATCCCTTTGGTTAATAATGTTAGTGATGGCTCTTGTTTCTTGAGTTGTAACTCATATTTTTATTGAGTTGTTGATGACATGGAAGCCTGAATATTATCAAACAGTAAATTAATGGTTTTAAAACATGATGATCAATCAACTAAGTATTTTTGACAACTTTTGAACTTCCATCCCATCTTTTATGCTGTCATTTCATAATATTATTTTAATTATGTAACTAATGTTAATGAGAACATTTTGCATTTTTAATTGGACTTAAATGACAGTTTCATATTACAATTCATGTGTGCCTCGTGTATGAAGTATATTTTGTTATTTTTATTCACCTTGAATGGCTTAAAAATGAGATTTAAATATGTGAACAAAGGGACATAATAGGAACAAAAATCCCCAATGTCATCTTTGCTACAATTCAACAAGAATTATTCTGTTCATTCTTCTTAGTCTGAGGGCCTGGATCGCACAGCCAAAACACCCTGGGATGTGACCGGTGTTAAAAACTGTGATGAATTTCACATTCACACAATGAATTCTTAAGTGTGTATTTATTTTCCTCTGACTCAGTTTATTTTCTTAGGAAGCAAGTTAAAATAAATAGCCACCAGAGGGCTATTTACTTTAGCATGCCATTTTCTTAATCTACTTAAGGCCACTGTGAACATTTCAGCCAGTTTTTAAAAGGAGCATTTCAATTACTCAGTAAGAATGCAGAAAATTGCTCAAAAGCCAAGTGACTTAAGTTGGCTACAATTAAAATGCTACATATTTTAGTTTTTTTGAGAAATGTAGGCAGGCTGAGTTTTCTAGGCCAAGTTGCTATATGTACATTCACACATGTGGCTATATGTAAAAAATATTTGAGCTGGTGACTACTTTTCGTGCATAATTTGTTTTAGAGCCACAAGAGGCCCGAAAAACCCACAACAACCAGAAATGTCATTATTTTGAAACACTGAAAGTGAAGCTTCCCTCCCCTCCCCACGTACTAAGGATAAGGTAAATCTAGAAATTAGAAATGTCATTATTTTGAAACACTCAAAGTGGAGCTTCCCTCCCCTCCCCTCCCCATGTACTAAGGACGATTTCAAACTAAAATGCCGGGTCTGAAAATATTTTTCATTTTCATTCTTTATTTAGTTCTGCCTCTTGACCATGAGCCTGTTCATATGATATTTCTCCAAGTAAGCTGACCATTCATAAATCCATTATAACTGCTTCACACACTCTTCTTCTTTAAAACTATAAAGTGGTCTTGTAATAGTTGAAAAGTGGTATCAAAGAATCAATATCTTTATAGAAATGTAAGAAGCTACTTTATACTAAACTAGATCATTGGCCCCTCTACATCATGCCTAAATTAGTTGAAGGTGGGGAGGAGGAAGATCCAGATGAGAGGAAAGGAGTACACTCTCAGGCACAAGAGGAAGGAGACGAAGAGGCCAGACCTCTTACCCCAAAGAGCAGCATTTGTTTAAGGTGTGAGAACAAGAATGCCAAGCTACCAGGCACTGCCCAAGGAAAGCTCCAAAACCTGCAGCTGGGCTGGAAAGGGTTGAGATCAAACCTTATGAGACAACTGTTTCAATCAGAGTTCTTTTGCTGGAAACAACAATTGTATCTCACACTTGCTGCCAGTTCTGGATGCCTCCTTCATTGGACATCTTTGAAACTTTACCTGGCTTGACGTGATGCTGCGTATGGTTTGGTCCTCCATAAGTAACTGGTTTGTGGCTTTTGGATTGTGGCTACCCTCTCAGCCTGGCTAAGTATCTGCTGTAAAAACCAAAAGAGCGGTAGAATATACCAGATGGGCGGAATATGAATCGAACAAATAAATAAATAAAATAAATAAAAGTGGCCTTGAGAGATGAATCCTGGCAAGCTGCCTGGCAGAACATTACCATTTTGTCCTGTATTGCCAACTTTGATCGTGAGGAGAATTATTTCCTTCCTGAAGTCCACTGGCATTCTTTTATGGGTTCTCCTTACAGGACTAACTGGGCTTGATCTTGCTTGGGTTCTGAAATCAGATGAGATCAGGTGTGTTTGAGGTGGAATGGTGGCAAAGGCTGGATTGTGGTAGGCTCCTTGAGGTCAGCTGACCCTGTGATGCATTTACAGAGACAGTACCTGGATGATGGCATCATAATGAACCTGATGGATTTTTCTGTTTCCAAGGAAACTTGCTTCCTACAGACAGATGGATTGGTGTGCAGAAGGCATGTTTACCACATTTTCTGCTAAAATTTCATGTTGCCTTTCTAAAAATGTAACAATATAATATCCCAAGTTGGAAGACTATATTAATATTAATTATAGCAGATGGAAGTGTGAAGGGCAGGAGGGGAAAGAAAAAGGCTGATTTCAATGGCTTTTAATAGAGTTTGTTAAAAATAGATCTATGCCAGCTGTAACATATTCCAGCCAACTTCTTTTCCATGCATGTGAGAAAATACTGTCAACAAATTTCCGTAGAGAAAAAAATGCTAGCAACAGCACACAATTTCTGTACAGTATTTTAGTGAAAAGGAAGAGGGGAAAGTGCTGCTTTTAAGAGATCTGAGAGTTTTATATATATTTTTTTAAAAAAATCATGATTGTTTAACTAGTTCCCAAACTGTATGATAAGACATACTTAATGCATCACTTCAGAAATGTTGGCATGCCTCCAGTCAATACATAATACCATAAAATGCAAGGCAAGGCAGTAATTTCATTCTTGCCTTGAGTCTGAGCAATAGAGATGACTTGGTAGAAGACATGGCAGTAAGGGGAACTCTGGGGGAAAGTGACCATGTTCTATTTGAGTTCTTGGTTTCAAAGGAAACAAAAAGAAGACTGTAGCCACTTGTGTGCATTGGATTTTAGGAAAGCCGACTTTAATAAACTCAGAACAATGATAAGTGGTAGTTTCTTTTAAAAAAGGAAGTTCTGAAGGCACAACTACAAATAATTCCAACAAAAAAAGAAGATGGAAGACAGCAAAAAAGACCAATGTGGATTCATAAAAAGCTCTGAGAAGAATGGAAAAATATATTTACAAGGAGACATATAAGGAGTGGAAGGAAGGCCAGGCCAGAAAGGAAGAGTGCAGATAAGTAGCAAAGAATTGCAAGAATGGCATTAGAAAGGCAAAAGCTGAGGATGATCTGAGGTTAGCAAGAGATGCTAAAAGCACGCGCGCGCACGCACACACACACACACATTCTTCAGGTATATGTGTACAACAAAAGACAGGGAACAGAAACTACTCAATAGAGATGAAAAAGTGATAAGAGATGACAAAGAAAAGACAGAAGTGCTGCATTCCCACTTTAGCTTGACATTTTCCCAAAAGACAGTCTATGACTCTGGAGGGGACAGGATATCAGCTTGAGATTAATAAAGAAATACCTTGATAATACTTTACTACACTCAACAAGTTCAGATCTCCTGATGAACTGCATCTAAAGTATTGAAGGAACTGGATAAAGAGCTCTCAGAATCACCATTAATTATTATTTTATTGAAAACATAAGAGGATAGGTGAAGGTCGGATGATTGGAGGAGGGCTAACAATGTCCCTATCTTCAAAAAGGAGGAACCTAGGAACTTCAGACCAGTCATCAATCCTAAGGAAAATTTTGGAGCAGTTTATAAAATAGTCATTTTGCAAACACATTGGGGAAAAAGCAGTAATAACTAGATGCCAACATTATGGACAAATAATGCTAGACTAATCTTCTCTCAGTTTTTGATTGGGTGACCTCTCTGGTAGATGGTAGGAATGCTGTAGACATAATATGTCTTGTCTTCCACAAAGCTTTGACAAAGAACCCTATGATATTCTAATTAGGAAGCTAACAAGGTGTGGGATGGATAGAACACCAGTTAGGTGAATACACAGTTGGTTACAGAATCATACTCAGAGTGCTTATCAATAGCCAGGATGTTTATGATTCAGTGACCTTGCTCATATGTACTGTCTAATTGTTTTGCTACACCTAAAAATATTTTACAATGACTATAGTAAATTATATCAAACATCAAGTTTAAATATACTTTCATTTTCAGGGCTGGTTTTTTTTTTTTTTTGATACCCTCTTTACTTTATTGCAATACAAAATTTCAAACGTTGACATTGAAAAGCTGGAACAAGTTCAGAAGAGAGCAACAGCAATTATCTGTGGCCTGAGAACCAAACCCTATGAATAAAAACTGAAAGAACTGGGCATGATTAGCACTGAGAAAAGAAGAGTGAGATATGATAACACTTTTCAAGTACCTGAAAGATTGTCATGCAGCAGAAGAGTGGGATCTCTTCTCAATCATCCCAGAGTGCAGGGCATATAAAAATGGGCTCAAAGTGACAAAAAATTGGAAAAAGGTGGAAGTCGGTACTTTACACCAAATTATAACACCCCCCTTCCCACTTTAAAATTGTTCTAACAGTCTCTTTAAATAAGTTTTACACTCTGATTCTCTCAGTGCATTAAGCTTTGGAGTATTTGTTGAAATGTCCCCTGAAATTTGACCAAACCCAAAAACAAAATGAGCCAAGCCTTACTTTGTCTTCAAATGCACAAGAAGAGATTATTTGCAGGTAATTGGCATATGTATTCTGGGTTGGCAGTAAATTCGCTCCCAACCCTCATATGACTTCAACTCAAAATTTGTTTCTCAGTCTTTCATTGAAATAGCAATGGGGAAGAGATTGTTTTATTTCTATTTTGTGGATCCTCTAATACTGAGTAATTCTACATGAGAAAAGTTTCTGTTAGGAATTGTGTATAATGTAGTTATATTTCAACTTCTCTTTTTAAAAGCTAGAATATTCTGGTTTTTTTTCCCAAAAACAAACAAAAAACAAACAAACCTTTGATCTAGATGGATAGGGCATAAATCTAATTAAACAAACAAACAAACAAACTAGAGAGCTTTTTGAAGAACTGAATCTATTTCTACAAATGTAGCTCAGATGCAGTTTATTAATATAATCTGGATGAAGGAAGGCTAGATGTGGTACATTAGTAGAATTTATACATTAATAAAAAAATTTGCAAAATAATCACCACCATACCTGACCTTTATATGCCTGAATTTATTTACTGTAAGCTCTTTACTAATTTACAAACATGAGGGTATGATAGGTCACCTGAATCCTTAAGTAACACAAAATCCCCATTCAATTAAATATTTCTGACTTCAAACGACTACGGGGAAAATTTAACTTGACAGAATTCACAGCAAGGCAAAACTACTTGGGTAATGCTTCCTTTTGAATAAGGCAAATCAGGCTGACTCCTGTCCCTAATAGAAAACTGAAAAGGATGACCGAATTTTAATGCCTATACATGTTCAGAGATGTTATAATGAAGGCACAGTTGTACAAAATGGTAGCAGCTACTGCTTTGTTGTCTGGACCTGTAAAGAGTAAAAGTATCAGAGGGTTACTTTGCATCTTTTCTAACAATGAGACAGTTCTTTTACATTTGCTCTCTCTGTGCTTTGCTTCTCAAAGAGAAAAGAACTTAGTTGTCTGCAGAGACAGTCTGCACTTTATGGTGGTCATGAAGGAAAAGAACATGGCTCATTTTCTCTCACACGCGTAGAGTAAGACATCTCATGAGGTCTGAAAATTCCTCCTCAAAGTGTCTTGTCAGTTTGAAGCAGCCTAAACACAAATTCAGTGAGGGGTGTTTTTTTGTTGCTGTTTTGTTTTTGTTGTTTACTTCCCACTAATGGATAGATGTGTAGTGAATTGTGTTGAAAGCCTAATGCTATTCCCAAAGATCTGCTATGAATTTTCCCATCACATTTGAAAGAACCTGAAGCAATGGAAAGGGGTGAGAAGAATGATGAATTTAGAAGCGGCCTATAAGGCCATCAAATCCAACCCCTTACTTAGTGCAGGAATCCAAATCAAAGTAGATCTGACAGATGGCTGTCCAATTTTCTCTTGAATGGCTCCAGCATTGGAATACTCACCACCTCCCAAGATAATTGGTTCCATTGCTGTACTGCTCTAACAGATAGGAAGTTTTTCCCCCTGATATTCAATGAGATATTAAATGGTGTGTGTGAGAGAGAGGAGGGGAGAAAATCACTCATTTTTGAATTTTTAAAGAATTTCTCAGTCCACCCCTGAAAGGTTCTGCAAGTATCATTCCACCTTCATAGCCAGATAATTTCTCAGTTTCCCCCCTGTATTATTCTGTCTTATATCCAAGATTTCTTTCCTCTGCTCTAACAGGCAATCTAGCTGGTAGCTGAGTTAATCTGTTATAACACAAGAAAAACCAGAAGTCTTATAGCACTTTTAAAATTAACTAGTTACTATTTGTCATAAGCTTTTGTGTGTCATCACACTTTCTGCCACTATCCCAGCAGGGCTCATGACATCGTCCCCTGGGAAGCTGCTACTGCAGTCCACACTCCACATTTAGCTTTTTTCCCCTTATCTTGTGGTTTGGAAATGACACCTAGCACAGGAGAAAGAAGTGGATGTGGCCATTTGTCCAGGTGCAAGAAGTTGACTGTAAATAGAGCAGGCTGCTTTTCTTGAGCCAAAACATGATGGAAGGAGGATATGTAAGACCTCCTGCCTCTGGAGCAGATGATCACAGAAATAACCTCTTCCCTTATCATGCCTGGACGCTAGGGACCCCTTTCAGAGCAAGGCATTCAAGTTCAGTGTAGAGTTAGCCTCTGTAAGTGCCACAGATTCTGTTCTCTACACCTCGTCCTCTTCTTCCTTGATGTCCCTTCTCCTCTTGTAGACTATGATTTTGCTGTCAGTGCATGCCCACACGTCCTCTATGGAAAGGTGAATGTCAAAGGGACCCATGGGTCCTGTAATAAGAATTGGAGTCAAAGCTTCTTTTGCAAATCTACCTTAATAAACAAACTACAATGGTGCCTCGCATAACGAGCGCACCGTTTAACGATGAATCCGCATTGTGATGCGGATTTCCCCATCACTAATGCGAGGGCATGCTCACATTGCGATGGGGGAGCAGCTATTCGGCGGTTCTAAAATGGCCACCGGACACCCAAAATGGCCGCCGGAACACCAAAAATGGCTGCCGGT